AAAAACAAAAAACACTAATCCCAATATTATTTAACAGTCATACTTATAATATGTTTAGATCAGAGAGGGTCTGAAAGGAACATCACCTACAACCGAACTATATATAATTCTCTTTCTTCTTACACAATACCTATCTACAAACAGCTCTTAACACCATTACTCAATACCTATCTACAAACAACGTATTCACAGCTCAGCTTGAGTGAATAATCTAAACATATAAGCACTTACACAAAAAAAAAACACATATCATTCGATAATTAAATGGTGGAGCTGCCATACTTACGCTTATCTTAACATAACTTTATAAGTGATACCAAAGCAATATATGTTGAAATGTTTTTTGAGTTAAATATAACTCTTTTAGTTAAAGAATTCTGTATAATAATTTAAAAAAAAAAACAGATTACAAGGCTATGACTAGTTGGTGATACAGTGATAAACAGCCCAAGACAAACCCTTCGCTTGTGAGGGTTATGCAGTGATTTATATCACAAAAAAAAACACAAAAACAGAGAGAGATAAGGAATGACTTACAGCAAACCTTAGAAGCAAGCAAGACTTGCCAACACCAGAATCCACCAATAAGCAAAAGCTTGAGAAGATAGTCACTGCAAAATTAAAAGAGTGAGAAATAAGCAGAAGCTCTTACTTTACTCAACACTCGGCTCAAAACAGAGCACCACAACCAAGACAATTCAAACAAAATATAAAAAAAGAAGCTCTTGCTTACAAGAGAGAGAGAAGCTCGTGTAAGCTTTGAATCGAGAGTGAGAGCTTGAGAGCTTTGAATCAAGAGTGTGAGAGAGCCTGAGAGCTTTGGAGGAGAGAGAGCTTGAGAGAGCTGGAGAGGCCAAAGATAACGTCAAAAACCAAATGATAACTACACACAGTACAATAATAATAATAACTAAACCTTAATCACCACAAGCATTAGTGCAAGCAAGCTATTCAATGTTAAGACAGAAAGATAAACACATATAGTAACAAAAGCATTACAAATAAAAAGCCAAAGCTCACAGAAAACACAAGTGGGAAAGAACTAAGGAAGCTTGATGGGTTAAACACATGTGCAAGAGACAATATCTAAGCTTTCAATTTCATCAACAAGGAAGAAGAGCAAGCGTTTTCTGATCAAACCAAAAGAACTATTGCTACAGAAATCAAAATCAACAGAGAACACAACATATAAAAAGAACACAACAGAGAACACATCCACACAGCTTTCTGTTGTAGACCCTAAACAGAGAACACAACATATAAAAAGAAAAGCATCATCCAACACAGTTACTGCATTCTCACTGTGAGTTCACAAGGAAGCATCAGAGCTAAACTCAATTCAACACTAAATGCAAAAAATTATTCACAAGACCAGAGTTGGCTACTATAACAAACACATAAACAATGTCAGATATTGTCGAAGAAGAACCACAAGCACTACAGTTCATCTCTAAACCATCTAAACATCTACACAGTTACTGCATTCTCAATGTGAGTTCACAACGAATGGTAAAAGTATCATCCATAATCACAGTAGCTACACAGTTACGCTTTGTAATAAAGGAATACTTTTACCAAAGCTTCTCTCACCGTAATCTTCCTCGTTAGAGAAGAGTGAGAGCTGAGGAGAGTCTGAGACTGAGAGAGTGCGGAGAAGAGAGCTCAAGATGAGGAGCCTGCAAAAAAAGACAAAAATAATAACCTCATGAGCAGACAAGAGAGCTTGAGGAGAAACAAAAACCCAGCTTTTGTGACAAAAACACAGAACACAAGACAAAACTAAAGAGTGAATCTTACGAGAGAGTGAGAGACAGGCACAATAACACTTGAGATGGAGAGATGGAGAGCGCTCGAGATGAAGAGAAGCTCGAGATGGAGAGAGCTTGAGAGAGCTGGAGAGGCCAAAGAGAAGTGAACAAAGATAACTGCATCAACAAAAATCCACAAGACTTATGAAACTTATGAAACTCTTTGTGAAACTCTTTGTGACTTATGAAACTCTTTGTGATTACAAAAGTGAACCAGACCAAGATTTTCCTGGAGTGCACATTGTGAGTAGCTTTTAAACATACGTACATCAACATATGTACACAAACTCTATCTAAACATGCTCTAGCCTCGTCAAAACCAGAAGATAAACATGCTTTAGAACAGAGACATACCTCAACGAGATAAGGAGAAGAGAGAGCTCGGAGAAGAGAGCTTCGAGATGAGTTGAGATGAGCTCGGAGATGGGTTTTCTTCAGAGAAGAGCTCGTGACGGAGAGAGCTTGAGATGGTGAGAGCTCGTGACGGAGAGAGCTTGAGATGGTGAGAGCTCGTGACGGAGAGAGCTTGAGATGGTGAGAACACGAGATGGAGAGAGCTTCAGATGGTGAGAGATGGAGAGAGAGCTTGAGATGGTGTGAGCACGAGATGGAGGGAGCTCGAGATCTCGAGAGATGATGGAGATTGATGAAGAAACGAGAGAGATGGAGAAGAAAGAAGCTGCGTCAAAGAGATGCGGCTGCGTCACTTTTAGGTTTAGGTTTTGTGTAAATACTCTAGTTTATCAAGGGTAAAACAGTAAATTACCTTATTGGCCGCATGTTTTAGGTCGCGGACGCTGGTTTTATCGGCGTCAAATGCAAGACACAGCGTTCGGACGCGGCGTTAGACGCAGGTAGGTGCGTCAACCAAACGAACACGATTCTAAAAAAAAAGTTGACGCTGACGCACCTACCTGCGGCGACCAAACGAACAGGCTATTCATCTGTGACAACATCTAGAAACTTGCATCAAATGGATATTACAGATCGGGCATCATGTTCCAAGCTAGATAGTAAAACGGTGAATAATGTACTTCCTCTGACTTATTTTTGTTACTCTAGAGTTTGGAATCTTCTAAGATTATGTTTTTGATTCGAACTCTGTTCCTGCAAATTTGATCTTTATAGTTTACTTTTTGTGGACCTTTTCGCCGTGAAGGTCTCTTCTCATGAGCAGAGAAGGGCTTGAAGCTATTACAGACCAGTCTTTAGGACAGCCTGAGATTCCATTTGATTGCATAGCTAAAGTTGCTGCCATAGCTTCGATGTGCGTTCAGCCTGAAGTATCGCACCGTCCTTTCATGGGAGAAGTAGTGCCAGCTTTGAAACTTGTGTGCAACGAACGCGATGAAGCTAAGGAGCTTAACTCTGTAACTTCGCTTACTCAAGATGAGAATCGAGCTTGAGAGTTCTTGTGGTGGAGAAGGCTCAGGGAGGATGGCTAGGTATCCGTTGCTACCGAGTTATGACTCTGAGCCTGATACACAGAGAGGACTTTCTGTGTCGGAGATGTTTACTGGTTCAGGGAGGTTAGAGAGACAGTCTAACTCAGGTCCCTTTGCTTCTGGTCGGGGAAAGAGGTTTTGGCAGAAGATGAGGAGATTGTCTACGTGAAGCTTGAGCGATCACGGGTCAGCATCGCTCATGGTGCGATCTGGTTCGTGTTGAATGATATTTTCCGGTTACAGAACATTCTGTGATACAAAAAACTCTTTACCTTGTGGATACCGTGGAAGCAACAGATTTGAAGAGATCATTACCGGTTCAGTAGTCATATTTGTATCTTAGCAGAAACAAAGATTCTGTCTAATCTTATTTCAATGTACATATATCACGTTAAAGGCACAAGGCATCACACCTTTTTTTCTTTTGGCCAAAAAAAAAGTTATGAAAGAAAATAATTTCTAAGAGTTTTATAATAACCTGTTAGGATTAAAGTGAAAGATAATGTTGTAAATAAAGTTGTGAGAAAAAATATTTTCTTCAAATTCCAAAATTTTAAAGTATTTAAATCATCCAACATTCTTTTATGAAATTATTTAAACATTTGTATGGAAGTTTTTTTTGAAATAAATACAAGTAATAAAATTATATACTCATAAAATTGGTTTAGAAAAACAATAGCTTTTTGTTATTTTGGTCAATTCTGGATTCAGTTTATTCGTGTGAAAAATATATTTTGTATGATAAAAACCATTCAATCTAATAAAAAAAAAGCTGAAATTTAGTCTAAATTTTTTTTTAAAATTATCTTTCGTTATTTTTGTATTGTTACACCTATATGTCACTTGAATTTGTAACTTTACAATTTTCCATAACTGTACATATTGATATTGAAAGGAAGGTTCAAAACTAAAAGTTTAAAATGTTTGTTATATTTTACTTCACAATAATATTTGCTACATATTATATTATTCCTAAAATACGGATACACTACATAAATATTGTATATATTTTACTAAAACTATAATAATCTAGAAATAAAAATAATCATACATGTGTAAATAGTATTCTAATTTTATTACTTAATGATGGGAATTAAAAAAAAAAAGTGAAGATGGTATGCATTCACTATAGTATTGTGTGGACAAATATTATTGACAAACAACATAATGTGGAGCAGCAAGTACACTTTTCTCAAAACATCTCCACTGCAGAAAAGTATGTATGCATATATTTTTCTGCAGGCACATACACACTCATAAGTCTTAATAAAATGCTTGAATTTGTGCACATATAAATATATTCTTAAATTGTAAATAATTTAGAAAAATTATTTGATGATCAGTTGTGGTATAGAGTTTGTCACATATGAATGAATATAACTTTTATTTTTTGGTTACTTTTATTTTATGTTATATGTGTTCATTATAATATCGTATTGGTAATAGGTCCATTATTCTATTTTAATATATTGACATAAAGTTTAAAACAATTTTTTGTCATTGTTCAATATATGATAATATAAATTTAAACGAGGAATTATTAGATAATGATTTCATCAATTGTAAACCATTTGAAATAGATTTTTTTTACAGAGAGAATTCATCTTATCTTAATTTTACGAGTTAGATCATACAATTTCAACTTTTAAAAGGATATATTCATCATCTGTTGCAAGACCAATTTTTATGTGCGCATTTCCATACTGATCTAAAGAAGTGTAATATACATATCTTCACGATTTATGCTAAAATGAACCAATATAGTTAAAAAATAGAATTATAATTTTAATTCACCAAATAAAAATGGATGAAAAATAACTTTAAAAGTTCAAATAGTTAAAAATATCAACTTAAAATAGTTTTTTTTTTCAGGGCTAAGAAGATTTAAGAAATTAGACTAAAACCTAAAATTAGGTTATTATTTTTTATCTGTGATTAGTGTATGTGTTTTGGATAACACAAGTGGGGAAAAATTTGTGACCAATAGTTATTGACTTATAGTGATGCAGTGTAAAACACAAATTCAAAAAAGTAAAATTAAATAACTAAATTCAATATATCACAAGAAAATATATTTTTATAATATACATCCTTATTATATAAATAAGGATGTCTGCGTAACTACTTAATTTTGAGTTAACTAACTTAATTTTTATTAATTTCAAACTATTTCTTTCATATGATTATCACCCCTACTTCTTTCTTTTGTTTAAAAGACATAATCTCTTTCTTACATTATTTATGATCACGTAAACTATTTCTTTTGTTTTTCTTTAAATTGTAAACACTTAATAATCACCCCACAATCCAAACATAATATTGAAAATTATAATCATAAATTAAACTATATATTCACATATCCGCGCGTAGCGCGGAGAAAGACACTAGTTATTGTAAAGACCTTAAACCACAACCACATTCCATTTTAATCAATATCTTCGTTTATTCCATAAAACTATAGTTTACATAAGCTTAACTTAAACAAAATTCAATTAAGAAGTAGTAATCCATAAATGAACCAAAGTTTGATTATAAACTAAAACAATAATTGAAACTGGAAACTTAAGTTTTTATTCTTTTTGGAAAATATCAATATATTAATCGAAAAATATATTTAGTTTTATATTGGGAGTTGAGCGATATAATTAAGAGAGATAGTGGTTATAACAATTATGTTACGATATAAGGTTTGGAATTTCATATTATAGATGATAGCCAAATATAAAAATTGAATGAGATTGACTGCCCGATCCTTTTATCGGGAACTCATGTTTATTGGTTGTTCTATTCCGGTCTGGATTTCCAGACCACCTCAAGCTTGAGTAATAGATCCGTTCGTTGTCAAAAAAAAAAATAAAGAGAAAAAATCTAACAAAATTGGTATTTGTTTGAAGTTCGGATAACAAATAAGGTCTCTTTTTTTTTCTTCAAATTTTATTTCACTTTTGTTGTTGTTCTTTCTTATATTATTAATGTTTTTTTATTATTTTTTGTTGTAATTTTACATATTATATATGAATAATTAAAAATAATAATAAAAAAATGATAAAGTTGGGTGGGAAAATAATGAAACAATAGTTACTTACTTTCACGTGCTCTCGACGCGCGTGCGATGATTTGAAAGGTAGCATTTGACAAAACCTTTTTTGTGCACAATGCTGAGAATTGGCCATATTCTCATCCACACACAGACATTGCCAAAGACGCAACACAACAGCTTCGAACATCAAACAATTAATCTATCAACGAAAGATGTCAGTGGCTTCACCGATTCAATGTATCAGGATTCTTAATCTTTCATCTTCTACAACTTCGCCGTCTTTCAGATTCTCAACGACTAAGTCATGTGTCTTCGTCATCAGATGTTCTCAGGCCGCCGAAGGTCCCTTGAGAAGGCCCTCTGCTCCTCCTACTTTCCGTGAGCTTTCACCTCCCGTAAAAACTGTTCCTCCTACGCCGTCGTCTTCTCCTCCGCCACCTCCGCAGGTGGCTGTTGATGGTAAGGGTGTAACAACGGTGGAGTTTCAGAGGCAGAAGGCCAAAGAGCTTCAGGATTACTTTAAGCAGAAGAAGCTTGAAGCTGCTGGTCAAGGTCCCTTCTTTGGATTTCAACCCAAAAACGAAATCTCCAATGGAAGGTAAAGATGATCTCAGTTCTCAAATTTGATTGGTGGGTCATGATCGTTTTTGCAATTTCCTGATATTTAGTGTTTCTTTTTTGCTACAAGTCTATATGGTTCCTGATGCTAATATAATACATTAGTTTGCAATGGTGCTCTTGCCATTTTAAGCCCTAGTCTCAACTGAATTTGTGGGTTGCTTTAGTTCTTAAAGTTGCTGCTTGTTATGATTCTCCATCAGCAACATCACCTTCAAATTCAGACATTCAGAGAACTCAAAGTTCTAAACTTGATGACTTCTGTCGTGACTGTTTTTCACAATTTGCTTTTGCATTTGTCTTTGGTAGACCAGAAAATTATGCTCATCTGCTCTTTCCTAGTTACACATTGGTTCTTACTATGAACACATACAAGAAGTGTGGTTGATTCATGAACTAGTTGGTTCTGCTTGGACATGCAAGAAATCTCTTTGTTTATTTTGTAGGTGGGCTATGTTTGGTTTTGCGGTTGGAATGCTTACAGAATATGCAACAGGCTCAGACCTTGTCGACCAAGTTAAAATCCTTCTCTCCAATTTCGGAATTATAGACTTGGAATAATAAGAGTGTTGAATTATATATAGATAAAGATCTTTCTCTCCTGATTATGATTCCTTATGTTCAGTCTTCATCTTGTTGTTAATTCTTCTTCTTCTTGTATATGTATCTGATCATAAATGCAGGGCCACTGTGTATTCAACAACTTATATCTTCAAATGGTATAAATATGATCAAAAAATTATAACTTAAACGATCCCAATGAACCAAGTATTTTCAATTCAGATTATATTCAATACCCTCTCCTCTAAAGAAAACTTAAGATGTTTCTTAAGGAATCTGTGCAATCTCAAGAAGGATTTTGTGGAGGGATTGGGGCTTTGAGAAGAAAGGAGAATGATCACTTCCTTTGATCTTGAAGACTCCTTCAGGGCTGTTCTCTCTCACTAGCTTCTCTTGAACGTCTGGTGAGAGCGCAAGGTCGTCTAGTGTCTGAACATAGAATCTTCTCCCTTTCCCGTATCTTTCTGCGGTCAGAGATACCTTTTCCATCATTGGTCCAAGTGGTACAGGTCGCATCGAAATCATCGCCAATGCTATATCCTGAAAACCATAAACCAGAATCAAACAAAAAGATGTAGACTTTGTCCATTGATAATCAAAGAACCGCTCAATAATTACACTGAGTTAGTGTTTAGGAGTGTACCTTGTTGGGTGATTGATTGAAATACAAGCCTTTCATGCGTTGTTTCTCAAACATGAAACCTGTAGGAGGCTTGTCTTTTCCGTTCCCATAGATCACGAACTGCGACTCTTTCATAAACCTCTCTACAGAACCAAGCTTCAGCAACGTAGAACAATTGTGTAAGCACAAGAAACAGACACATCGCAGTTTTCTCTAGTGAATGAATGATGGATCTGAGCTAAAAGAGTGTTAATTATTTACCTCTTCAGAGAAAACATCAAAGGGTCTTTGGCCACTAGAAACCATTGTTGCACATAGGTATATAGCTTTCGATATTTTATCTGGAAACCTCTCTAAAGCGTATGAAATGGACGCACCTCCCGTACTATGACCCACCAGAATAACCTACATCAGACAACAAACGCTTATCTCATTACATTGGTTTTGAATTAAAACTTTAAACAAAGAGAGCAAAGTCTAACCTTTTCTTCTTTAGGGAGATTTTCAAGGTACTCGATCAATGGTTTTGAATATTCCTCCAAGGTAGAGACAGTGTTTGTGTCTGTCATATTAAATCCAGCTCCAGTAAGGTCGACGGTAATAGGAGACAGTCCCGAATCTTCCAAGGAAGCAACAATTTTGTACCAACACCATGCCCCAAACCCTTCACCATGCACCAAGACGAATTTCTTCACTGTCAAGCTCTCTAATGAAAAATCTGGTACCTGAAGAAAGGAAAGGAGACGCATGATTCAAAAATAAAGCTTCTATGATCATTCATTGTTACATCTTCAATCAAATTTAGAGCAGTAAGTAACAACATCAATCTATAAAGCAATGACAATGTGTGAACTGAATATGAACAATCAGTGAAGAAGATTTCAGCTTCGCTTATAACCCGTTCTTCTAGACTTCTAGTCATAACAACGTAAACTGTACAGTGACAGGCAAGTAAATTCTTACAGGAATTTTAGAACAAGAGCAGAGACAATAGTGTCTTTCAGACAATAACAAATACATTCATATGCTTTATAGCTTATCTGGCCCCAACATAGTGTCGGTATCAGAGTAAAGAATATTTATTTTCTGGATAAAGTTAGCATTATCCAACAGATAAGTAATTAGGAATCTCTGAGAACTTTAAACAACATCTCTTTTCGAAGCTTAACAAAAAGAATCTCCAATTTTGTTATGACCTTTTCTTTTCATATATAATTAGAAAGCTCCCAGCAATCATTAAACCAAAAAGGCAACGACCCAGTCGAAGATAATCATATAAAATGAGTAAAAGATCTGAACTTTTTAATATGTGTCAAGTAGTAGCAAGACCTGCTTGCCATTTGAGAAAGGGTCCGAGAGGGTGCGTTGTTTCCTGGTGCTTGTAGACCCGGCCCGTCTAGACATGGATCGGTCGAATCTCTGAGAAAGCTGAGTTTGACGAATGGCCATGGAAAGAGCTCGCCGATGCAACATCTCTTCATCGGCAAGAAGTTTTCTCTGTGAACGATTCATTCGCATGCTCTTGGATCCATCTTTTCTATCTTTCTTCATCATGGAGATAATCTTGTTACCCATCTTTCCAAATCAAGAACCAAGCCTGACCCAGAAGACGAATTGAGGATAATTCAAAGAAATTCTCGAGAAAATAGCATGTTTCCGTGAAAGTCAAAGTTTAAAGAGTCTGTTGCCCTAGATGGGCAAAAAACCTGGATCTGAAGAACCAAACCGAACCCGATCCGAAAAAGTAATATCGAACCCGAACCAAAATTGTTTCAATATCCGAATGGGTTCAAAATTTTGGTATTTAAAGAACTGAAACCGAATCCGATCCAAACCGAAATATTTCGGATATCTGAATATATCCGAAAGAGATTTATATACCTATATATATTAATTACTAGGGACGTAGCCCCGCGCAAGCGCGACAATGTTGTCGTTAGGTTGTTGTTGAAGTTTTCAAGTTTTAGTTTTGAGCAGCTATATGTTTAGAGTATTTTGTCCATCCATAGTAGATCGGTCTTATAATATATTTCTTGTGTCAAATGTATCGTTTAGAAGGAAGGCTTTTGCAATGGTATTTAATTTTGATATATGACCACTTGTCATATATGTTAACGGACCTCTCCGTCCATTTAGAACCGAAGAGTTGTAACGCAATTAATCTTGCCTTTTCGTACATGATCAGAGGCTTGGTTAGTTGGGTTATGCATTCTCATTCACATTGATCTCATTCACATTGAAATAGTAATCGATGAATTTATGTGGACATTCACTTTGAAATAATAAACGGTGCAAAAAGCATTTCTCATTATTCATTAGTGTGTATAAGCCTCAAACGGATTAAACAAAGCATGAAATTTTGAAATGTTGCAGAGTTTAAAATAAGCAAACCACTATAATATAAGAAACTGTAAAAAGAAAAAGGCCCGGGGGCTGATGGTTTGATAGATTTCCGTGTCTTACACCCTGGTGTGTTTGTAGCACTCTTTGTTAGCTTCAAGTGAAGTCTTGTTGAAGGCAGCAGCGGAATTGGATGCCTCTCCACTTTTTCCTTCGTTGAATTGTCGTTGTCAATACTTGAAACGCTATAGTGAGTTGGAGATGTTTTTCTTTAGGCTTGTGAAAGATATAATCGTTTTGTAGATTAAGTAGTATAATACCTCATTAACGGTATCGTCACTGATCCCATAATCGTTTTGTAGATTAAGTAGTATAATACCTCGTTAACGGTATCGTCACTGATCCCAGAGATGGTGAAGGTATTTTGGTTTGAGATGAGATTTTATCGCGTGGTACGTATATTGAATATGAACTCTCTCCCGACCAGTTCCGCAAGGCGTTGCGGGATCTCGTGGGACTGACTGTCATGATTGAACACTTTAGTTTGTGACAGAGATCTGTATTTAGCTTATTCGAGCACAACACAGCTGTAGAGAAGATCAGATTATAAGACAAAGACAAAGCCAAAGCCATATGGGTCGCCTAAAAGCGTCTGAGTTTAAAAAAATTTTACTTGATTACAATACTGACGAGTGACTCCCAAGTAATTCTTTTTTTCTTTGAAGCAAAAGTATAAATAAAATCAGATTTGTGTTATGTTTCACAGGAACGAGAAATGGAGTTTAATCAAAATTTAGAGACAACCACAAATTATAAAGCGCTGAGTACCAAACTTGAAAATGTCATGGTGTTTACCTGATCATAAAACATAAGTTACTCTCTCGTCTTTTTGTCTTCTATTCAGCTTGAAAGAAAAACAAAAATAAATCAGTCACATAATTATAAGAGATAGTAATAAGTTCACAAATATAAAAAAGAAAACTGTAGAAGCGTTTTGATTCTGAGAAACAAATCTTCAGCACGGATTCAGATCTCACTCTAACTATTTGCAGCATCTCTGTTTGGTTTTGTTTTCTAATCCATATCTGATGCTCTAAGAAGTTGATCAGAATCTGTAGTCCACCATATATTTCCTCAATTCCAGACCAAGTTTTTTCAAACTCTTAAACTCTTCCTCTGATTGCAACTTGGAATTTCCTCAGATTTCGAAACAATTATCTGTCTTTCACTCTGATTCTTTTCTACATATTACTCCTCTTATGCATCTTATATCCAAACGCTACATAGATTGTAAAAATGGAAGAGGCAGAAGACGTTTATAGATAAGTGGTGATAGATTGGGTTACCTTTTCATTAAGTAAGAGAATTCCCATAAACTCGTCGCTTTCTTGATGTTGCGGGTATACCAGAAGCGGAGGAGACGGCCAACCAAAGTGGAGAGCATTGAAGGTGGTGGAAGGATGTCGATAGCATCAGAGGTAGACATGCTTAACAATCGGAAGCCCAGTAGATGATATGAAAGATTGGACTCCTGGATCTAGCATGATTATATATAGTGAGGCCATTTGTAACAGTTATGAGACGCTACCGTTTTTTATTGTGTGCCTAAAGAGGAGGAGATGAAGAGATAGAGGGAGACTAAGAGTTCCATGGATTTGATTGAAGAAGTTTAGATAGTAGCATCTGCGTATTTGAGAGGAGACGTATGATTGAATAAATTCTAGATATCAATCAAAGGCGAACAGCTGGCGATTTGAAGGCTTTTTAGGGCCAATTTTGTTGTTTATTACGATAAACTTAAGGCTTTAATCAAATATGTAAACTAATGTAATAGGTGGAACACCTAACAGGCCAAATGTTTAAAATCATGAAAAGTAAAGGCCCATGCGACAAAACAAAACATCTGTTAAACAAAACAACATGCAATGCAATTTAAAATGGCAAACAACTGGGAAACCGGCACGCAGTTTTATACATGACGGAGGTGCTGACGTGGCCGTTTCTAGGAGAGGCAAAAAGTGTCCCATTATATATATGA